CAATGCTGGCAGCCCACCCCTCCCTTTGTAAATACCACTTTATCCGTTATATTCTCTTCCCATGGCTCTTCTTAGGTGCTCTTAGTTTTCCAAGTACTCAGGAGATATGCCCCATATGTAGTTGACGTTCTCCCAATGTTTCCAATGTTAATTTTGCTGTTTAGATTTTTAGCACGGACACATAAGCATTTTTGAGAGATTATCGCCAAGGTGGAGTTTTGACCATGCCTGGAACCTGGAATTTGATGGACATGGTGTGTTTGTTTGTGTGTGTGTGGGGGGGGGGGGGAGGGGAAGAGAGAGAGAGAGAGAGAGAGAGAGAGAGAGAGAGAGGAGATAATGAGATGAAATAAATCTAATTGCACAATGTGGGTAACTTTACACCAGGAGAAATCTAGAAATCTAGGTTTATGACAGGCTCCCCATTGCCAGGGAAGTTAGGGAGACATACAATATGCAATATGATTTTGGTCAGGTAAGGATTTACATGAACCAAGGACAAGGAGACAGGCTACTTCCAAAGCTCGAAAAGCTATTTCACTCCCACAAAATCCACTACTGGCTTGTATAGTTTATTTTTTATCACTCAAGTGCAACCTTTAATGCTTCCATTCCGAAACTCTGAAAGTTAAGCTACAAATATAATGGTCAGGTCCCTACATTTCAAAGCAGGAAGTATCCTCCATTTTCGATCTTCGCTGGTCATGCCCAATTTCCCCTGTTTGTTTCTAATGAGCTCACACAGCAAGTCTATTTTCTTTCTCTTTCCTAGTCCCTGAACCCGACGGGGCATCCAAGGTTCTTTTTATTCTTCAAAAATAATTATCTGTTTTTATTTATTCCTTTCATTTGAAGAAATTGTGAAAGATTTTGCTTTGCTTTGCTTCTCTTATCGTGCATTTTTAAGCACAGGGCTGTGAGGGCTGAAACAGCTTTACCGACTCTGGTCGGACTTTTGGGGCAGACAGAGGTAACCAGAGTCTCTGCAAAGAGAGCAGGGGAGGCTCAAGCCGGCTAGGCGGAAAAACAAGCCTGGGGGAAATCTCTCGGTGGGAACTGGAGGTAGGGAGGAGTGTGCGTTCCAGGCGGGGAAAACAGGTGCTGCACGCCACTGGCTCCCTAAGGTGGGGAAGGGACACAGGCCTTGTGCTGACTTGGTCGTTGAGGTCAATGTTGTGAGTCTCTCTTTTCCCTACCCTTCCCTCTTCACCCCAGTAACTCTCCACTCTCCGTGTAGTTTCGTTGCAGTCTACACCCTCAGGCTTCCGAGTTAGATTCCTGTTCCGGTGTTCCCCAAGGCTCTGCAATCCTCCTCCGACGCTTTCTTGCATCTGACCACATCTCATACTTTTTTTTTTTAAAAAAATGCATTTTACTATTTTTGAGTGTTGTGTAGTGGTATAATTGTCCACTGTAAAATGTCCCTAAAGAGTAGGGTAGGCTGTTCTTACACAAAGTCCTTTGCGTATGCTGTTCCTACACAGAATCCTTACACAAAGTACACTGAAGTTTGCGTTGCTCTAAAAAAACCCACGAAGTTTTAAAAGAAAAGAGATTGTTTGTTTGACTTTAATTTCGAACCATGCAACGCACTGCCCAGTGTTTACGAAACAGCGAAAAGTGCAAGGCCTGAGCCAAGAGAGACCAGAGCAGGGAAACCCACCTCTACCAGTCCCCGGCCGGAGGGCGAGGCGCCTGGAAAACCAAGGCTCGACCCAGGCTAGTTCCGAGTTTCTTTTCGAAAGCAGAGTGTTTGCTTCTAATCTGGGTTCCTTCCCAGCACAATCAAATCGCGCACCTGCGAGTCCAGAATGAAACTTGCATCTGCTTGTTTAGTTTACTCCTTGAAATGTGTGAGTCCCGGGGAACAATCAGCCAGTTGCACGCTTCGTTTGCACCCAAATAACTTTCCCGCACAATCCCATCAAAAATCAAGATGATGCTGAGAAATGAAGTGAGAGATTGAGTCACTCAGCCTGAACATTAGGGGCTTCTATTCATGGTCCCAGTGACAAACGGGCAGAATATTTCCTAGCGACTTTCTCCGCTCTCAGCCTCCAGTCCCCAGAAAGACTCGCTTCTCTTTTTGACCTCCTCTAACGTCCAATGCCTATGGAGCTTGCCTCGCCTACTTTCCCTGCCTTGAGACACCTGAGCCAGGGACCCTTAGGGACCCTCACCTTGGTCCTCTGCCCCTGTGAGCTTTCGCTGCGTGGGGTTCTGCAGCCCGGGAACTTCCACGCTCCTGGAAACCACTGCTCACTCACTTCGTTACACGCCGGGCTTAGCGCATGCAATACTATTTTATCAAGCCCAAACGTGGAATATACGAGCTTGCTTACCTTTGCGCGCGCCTCATGGACCATTAGCTGCCCCAGAGCGGTGGAGATGACCAAGCCGCAACTCTCGGAAAGTTGAAGAGACACTTTGCCTTCTTTCTGCACTCCAACCTTTGAGCCACCTCATCCAGCCAGCTGCGCGGAAACCTGCGCAGCCAAGCCGGGACCGGACCCGACAGGGGGCGACAAACTGTAAGGTTTTTCCGAAGACTAGACGTGCTGACCACTGCGTGGTCGGGCCGGCACGCAGCTGGCTGTTGAGGAAGGAACCTGGAGAAGAGAAGATGTCTGGCAGGTTCAGCTCCAGAGAGCCTGCTACCACAAGTGCAAATGTCCTAAGTCGCTCCCCCACCTCCTCCTCTCCCGGACCACCCGGGGCCTTCCTCTAGGGAGTTTGATGCCGAAGCGCCGCCGGCTGAGCAGAGGATAGCTTGGTTGAAACAGCTCTCAAGGTGGCACGGCTTACTTAGGCTAGTTGAGCTTGCCTACGGACCCCTCTCTCCCAGGCCTGCAGCCTTTAGCTACTTTGATGCACTTCTGAGTTAAGGAATGGAAGCCATTTTCACATCTAGCAGTCAGACGGCGGGCGAAGGATCATACATTTCTTGGTATTCCTTGACTGACTAGAAATTCCGGAAATGAATCTCTAGTTTAAAGGTTCTCAAATCCCAAAAGATCTGGGAAGAATTGAAAGAGAGGTGTTCTTACTCCCCGAAGCCTCAAGGAACTG